CTACAAAACTGCTACTCAAAAAACTTCTAAAAAAATTAAAAAAAATTGGTAAGTTTGTAATGTACTAATTTTACTCAACTTCGGTGTAAAAAAAAAAAATCATAACTAAAATTATTGTAGAATTCACCCCATAATACTATAATTAAATATTTCGCAATACTCACGATTTTTTTAATTTTTTTTTTGAGATGGCGTATTTCCAAAAACTATTGTTTTTTATCAAAAAATTTTTATGTAAAAAACGTTGCAAGAAAAAAAAAATTTAAAAATTTTTCAAGAAAAAAATTTTAAAAATATTTCTTTTCATAGAGAATTTTGATGTTTGTCTTAAATCGATTTGTTTTTGTGCTGTAAAGTTTTTAAAAATGTATTAATCAAACACCAATTTCATATTTATTTATTATTTATGCTTATCCATCAACCCTAACAAATGAAACACATAAAGTGTGCACCCCGTCCATTTTGGTATGGAACGCCCCACTTATACTTTTAATAATTTTTTATGGAAAGTTTCAAAATCCTTCAGATTTTCCACAAAAGTCACGAATGTCCGATGATTATTAGTATTTAAAAATATACATACATATGTACATATTGAAATATTTGTGAATTTCTTATGTATGGTGCGCTCTATATTTCTTGAATAAAAAGCGAAAAAACCAACATGACATCAAATAGTCATAAAAATGATCTGCGATCACCTCTGATCACCTTTGAACAATCGTGGGTAGTTAAATTGGGGCACAAGCGCTACTTTCAAATAGAAATTCAATTTATTTTCATTTTACACTCTTTTCTCCTCTATTATTTCGTTTCTTTGATTTTATTTATACGTAAATGATTGTGGCGTATTTTTTGTGCGTGATCAATCAAAAATAATAAATCTCGACAAGCATTCAAATGGTTCATGAGTACCAAAATTGTAAAGTGTTGAAGCACCCAACTTACCAAACCACAGAAAAAAATTGATAGGTTACGCTTTTATGGCTTTCTTGTTGCTTTTTTGCGTTTTAAGTATAATAAGATTTTTAAGTATGTCTATACGCATCTACATATGTATGTATCTAACTACCATTTTCCTTGTTTTTTTTTTTTGTAAACCACAATTATTTCTTTTCCATTCGTTCTTCTTTACGCGTGCGTTAAAAGTCTGCTTAACATTTTCTTAAGCGATGCACACTCAGGGGTCAACGTAACCGTAATCAAAATTCTAATTATTTAATAGTGGGTTTCAACTTCTTAAAATAAGTATTTATGATTATAAAAAATGTAATTGGGGGCCGCCACATTGCTCCCTAAACCTCCTCATTTCAACGCTTGAATTGAAAGTGTGCTAAATTTTGTCTATCCTCGCGTATCCACTTTGAAAACCTGACGCTTTATTGTCAGTTCCAAGAGTCGTGGATGCTTTTTTAGCCAGTGCCATGTATAATTAAGGGTGATCTTGCCAGCATAGGCCACTATTGTTTTATTTGGTTGCCATTACGAACGCTTACTGCTAAGCCAAAGTGAAAAACGCTGTGTGTCGCAGCCCGTGCTGGTTAAAAAGAGCGATGTCAGGTGTTTAGAGAAAGTGTTGGGATGATTTACTCACATCGTTCAGTCCGAGAATGTCCTGTCAAAACACACACCAAATATAAAAGTTGCGACTTTGTCAGCCTAAAGAGATCTTTTGAGCACCTACGGACCACCCTCAGCCAGAATGACGTTGCAGTGGCACACGTAGTAGTTTTCGTCCAGCCTTTGCTGAGCTGATATGTAGCGCAGCCGTCCAAGTGTAGGCAAATCCAAAACTCACTTTTCAATTTATTATGATGCAATCAACAATTTTAGTTAGTTAGGGCTTTTTTGCATCTCAGCGATGGTGTAAGATAGGGCCTTTCTATATTAAGGTAACGATATATAAGTCTGACTAGAAAATATCAGACGTTACCGAAACCGACATTTTCCAACTGCTTTGCTATAATATATACTCCGATATATATTTAATGGATGTATTCATTCGTCAGTCCTCTAGCTGTATGCCCTGCTAACAGTAATGCATTTAACAGAGCTCAGTAACTTTTCTAATATGAACAAACCTCAGTTTCCTGGCTTTATAGGGGCTATGTGGGTTGCTATCCAATACATTTCGTTATATTTGTATCCTTTGTGGGATTGTAAAATCAATTATACATATAAGGAGAACCTATGATTTCAAAAAGAAGGGAATCTGTTTTGTCGAAGAATTGTCTTCTTTTATAGCAATACAGAAATTTGTAGGTTTGGGTTGTAACCAAAACCTTCGAGAAATTGTGCCAGTTATTTAACTCAAACAACAGACATGTCCTACATTAGTAGTGTTTAAAGTTTTAATGCAAGCAGATATGCAGATATCAATCGATTGGACTGTAAATTATGGTAAATTTTTGAAACATCCAAGTGTTGAGTGTTTGAAGCGCGCCGAGCAGTAAAAAATTTCCCATTGCATACTGTAATCGATGTATGGCTAAGCCGAATAAGGCACTGCTGATGGCCGTTTCGAATATGGTTTTTTACAACCTTAAGCCATCGGCCTGCACTTTAAATACAAAAAAGCAGGGACTGAAAACGCGTTTCGGTTTTGGTTTAGTTCTGCATGAGAACAAAATGTAATTTCATAAACATTCTCACAAATGAACTAAAGGGGAACAAAAGTATTGAGAGCGGGTTGAACGTGAACAAAATCAAAAAAAAAGGTAAAGGAAGGAAAAGGAAAGGAACTCTCGGGAACTTTCTCAAGAAGAACAGAAACATAAGGAATCTTTCGAGAACTTTTTCAATAAAAATAAAATGAGAATGAAAGTATCGAGAACGTTTTCAAGGAGGATCAAATAATAACAAAAGTCTGGGGACATTTTGCTAGAGAACAAAACGGGCACAAGAGTTTTGAAAACTTAAAGTTAAGAATGAGAGGGACATCCTCGTGTTGGGATGGAAAATCGTTTCATGACTGTTAATGCTAATAAATTAATGCTAAACCAAAAGAAAGCTGGATCATTTTGTCTTCCAGCTCGTTTATCATTAGGGTGAACTATCCATTTTTGAAACAATTTTCCATATTCTGTGCAAGAAGAGTTCGTGTCTTAAGTCTTCCGTTTATGATAATGGTGGACTGTGCTAGAAAAGTTCGCGTCTTAAGTCTTTTGTTTAATTTTTTGAATTTTTTTGATTAATCTTATTATTTAAACATTTCAAACTAATGGAACGATATAAGAAACATTTGTTCTCGCTTTCATTCTTCGCGAATAGCTCAGAGAAGATTTGTTCCCGCTTCGTTCTGTCAGAAAATTTCTGAGACTTTAGTTCCCAAATGGTTTTTCGAGAGAAAGTTGCTTAGAGACTTTTGTTCCCATTTTGTTCCCCTAGAAATGATACCGAAAATATTGTTCGCATTTTGCTCTCTTTAGGAACGTTCCACATGGTTATGTTCTTATATAACTAACGTTGAGAACATTCTCGACACTCCTGAAGTTTTCTTCGGGTTTCGGTTTGGGATTTTAAGTGTTTGTGGGAACCAAACTGCGAGAACGAAATTTGGTTTCGATTATACCTTTTGTTCTCCGTCCCTGAAAAAAACTTACGAAAAATATTCACTCGTTGTCACAGTGTTGTCTCAACGGTGCTCCCTCCATATCTAAAGTGTTCTAGGGACATCTGTGGGGTGATTTAATTTCGAAAGATGAAATTTCAAAATTAATTGTCTTAACTTTTTCTACAAAAACGCTCCATCACACAGTTTCCACTAACCAAAACGCAAATGTTTTAAATAGCCAAACACATTTCCAATGATCAACTCTACTTGTTAAACATTTAAACATGCCCAGCATGTGTACGTAAGCACCAAATATGTTGCTGATATTTTCTAACGACTTACAAGTGACAGCAAAAAAAGGAAAAACAAATAACCAGCAATAATACATACACTGGCATGCGACAGACATACAATATTTTCGCCGCACATAGCCGCAAAAGGCAACAGTAGATTCAACCAATCAACTAGAGCACTTGACAGGCCATTATTGTGGCAAGATCATTCGTTGCGCTTTCTCAATAGACACAAAGCGGGCGTGATGATGTCTTTTTTAAGTATCCATATGCCTTTGGACATAACATAAATTCGCTTAGCCATAAAAGGTGAACTATTTTCGCTGCCGTTGATGGTGTTGTGTTGCAATTGGCATTGCTAAGCGCAATTTTTATTTCACTTTTTCTACAAATTTATTTTTCTACGATTTTTCAAGCTTTTGCACAATCACTTACCTGAAAGAAGAGTACAAAGCAGACCCATTGGTAGTACGTGTAATATTTCTTGGCATCCTCATCGTTGAAATCGTTGGCAACACCGGGATGTGCTACTTCACGGCCGACCTGTTGGCGAGACGAAGAAGAATTTAAACAATTTTTGTTAACCACAGTGGCTGTATAAAGAGTTGCTTAGAAACTATGAATACGAGTAATTTTTAACCAAAAAAAAAAACCGACTTCAATGCTCATATATCATGATCCAATGATCGGAACTAAACCAAATTAGTATGAAACCAACTTTCCAAAAAAAATTCGACGAATTGATAACCTCCTGCTTTTTTTGAAGTCGGTTGAAAAGAGGTTAAATGTGCTTTAAGGTGCGTAAATTGTAGGGCTTTGTTGCTTGTGTGTTTGAATGGAATTGACTGTGTGTCGCAATACGTAATTACTAGTTTGCTAGCTCCCTTGCACTGAGCCACATGCATACATACATATATATGTACATTAGGCTGCATCACCAAAAAATGCGGTTTTTTAATGGAATTATAAAATCTATAATACACGTACTATTTGAAGACAGTAGCGAGACCGATTTGAAAATATGTACACTCATGGCAAAGAGTATTGGCACAGAGAATTTTTCACAATATACATATGCAACAATTTTTCTTTCGATTTTTTTCCGCTAATTTTTATAAAATTATGGTTCATACTTCAACAAAAAACATAAAAATATAATTTCTGAACTTCGTGCGAGATTCAGGAAAATTCAATGAATGTGCATGCAAACTTTCAACTTGTTAATCAGATTTTTTATATATTTTTATGAGTATGCAGTTTTGTGGCCAATTAAATTTTAGTGTAAAGAAATGCAGGTTTGAAGTTGCTAAAAAATCGCGTTGATTTAGAGATTTTTTTTTTGTAGAAATGCGTGAAAAAATTGCCAAAAACAAACAGTAAGTCCTAGCTACTTCAAACTTGCACTTTATTATACTACAATTTAAAGAGCTATACAACTGCATACTCAAGAAAAATCTAAAAAATGTGATTAAAATTATGTTTATATTTTCTTTTCTTGTAATATGCGGAAAAAATTAACATAAAATTGTTGCATATATCGTGAAAAATTCTCTGTGCCAATACCTTTTTAAAAGAGTTTACCTTCAAAAATATCATTATTTCGATTCCGTTGATACAATTTTTAAACATTTTTATGCAGACCTTTTAAGCTTAAACTCTTCTAATACTAGATGTGATTTTTTTGAAAAAATATTTTTTAAAACTTATTTTTTTTTTAATTTAGTTTTTTGAGATATTTTCAAATTAGTCCAGCTCACGTAAATCGTAAATCGTTTCCAAAATATTTTGGCAGAAATCTTAAAACATAATAATATTTTTAATTCTGATAGTAAAATGGTACCAATTTTTGTTTTCTTTATTGAAAGTGGTACACTCTAATGTAAATATATAGATACATGTATGTACAAATTGTGCTGTTCCCGTTTTATTTTCTAAATAGTATAAGGTCGCAATCAGTTACGCATGCGTGGATCGTCTTTAATTGGGGCACACGCATTTTTTTGTGGCGTGGCTCGCGTGCACGATTCATCCATCCACTATGTACTGCTTTATTTAATTTTTTTAAGGCGAGGTTAATTTTCAGTAAAAAAGAATAAAATTAAGGTCTAGAAAAAATAAAAAAGTAGAAGTAAGGCAAAAGAAAGGAAACTAAATATTCACCGACACTACCTGGCAGATCGTAAGTATTGTGGGCTGCCGAACCACAAAAGTATATTTGGTGTACCTTTGAAATAATGCCGGCGTGATAAAAATATGTACTTCTACAAGTACTTATTTTGGTAAATTAAAAAAAATATATATATATATAAGAAATTAAGCACTTACCGCTGTCTAGTGCGCAAATTCAAGTGAAATTCAAATCTTAACAAGTGCGCGTTTCTCATTTACATATGTAAATATGTATGCACACTAGGGTGGTCAAAAAAAAAGAGTTTAAAATGTTAAGCTCTCACACTTTAGGATTATTTTATGTGAAGAAAAAAAGAGAAGAATTTCGTAGGAATAGTATAGAATTCCTGAAAATCAATATCTTCCGATCATTTTTTAATACTAACAACCAATTTGACGAAAGCAATTTAAGTGAAAAATGATTTTAATTTTTTTGAATTTTATATGGATATGACGGAAAATAAAAAATCATTTTCCTTTTAAATTGCTGGTGAAACCGGCTGTAACTATTTTTCGGGAGTCTCTGATTGCATTTTTTAGGGTTATGTGGGACCTATAAAAACAATTAAGTGTTACAAAATGGTTAAGTAAACAGTTGGGTATTGTTATTGGAAGTCTCCCCAAGAGGAAACGAGTTTTCCCGATCGAAAAATATCGATTTTCAAGAATTCTATACCATTTCTACGAAAAAGTGTTTTCCCCATATAAAATACATAGAAAACTGCATGTGCTTTAAGGTAGTGCTAAATGTATATTTTTTTTTACAAAAAAAAATTGGGTATTCTTTTTTCCATTTAAAAAATCCCAGGGGGCGAGGGCTTAAGCTTTTATACTTCTTTCCCCGCATATATTTTTGGAGAGCCCTAATGTACACACGCTTGTATCATACATACATACATATGTATGTACCTGCTATTTAAGACGCATGCGCATACAGCTGAAAGGTGTCCAATTTCCTATTCTGCGAAGTACTTCTAGTAGTACCCACATCGCGCTCATAAATACAGCCCACCATTCTTGCGGCTGCCTGATGGTTTTGCGTTTCCTCTTGCCGCCATTGAATATGCATAAATGCAAAGTTGAGGGAAACAGTATGTAAAGGGTGGGCCATATAGTTTTTTCTTTTTGAAGTTAAAAAAAAATACCAAAACCAACCCACTTCCCATCATTTATCGAAAACGACTTCATTCATGTGGCTCGCTAGGTTGGCTTCGCAGTAGCGCAATCCTGCTAACCCAGTTTTCCAAGCGCTTGGTAACGCTATTCGGCATTATCTCATGGATGGCTTCCTGGATATTTGCCTGAGGGGCCTGAATCGTTAATGGATTGTTTCGGTCGTTCACGGCACCGCCCAAAAAAAAAAAGTATGACGCCATCAAATCGCAGCTCTGAAGTGGCCAATTGACATCACGATTACCGAGCTTGGCGCGCAAAAGAACGATTATGTCCGTTCCATCGATTTTTGGCCGCCAAGAATCGTTTATCATGTCATGCTAACCGTTCCCTGAAATGGCGTTCCCAGCAGTATTAAAAAAAAAATGGGCCAATGATGTCACAGCTCCAAACTCGCACCAAACTGTCACTCACTGAGGATGTGCATTGGCTTTTCGACAATCACGTGCGGGTTTTCCAATCCCCAGATGCTGAGCTTTGCTTGTAAACATAGCCGCTGAGATGAAAAGCCGCTTCGTTGGAAAATATGACTTTTGAAACATTTTACACTACATTGACTTTGTTCATAAGTCTATATTATTTCCCAACATGGACCGCCCTGTATATATCTACGTATATTTACAATTTATTAATTTTTTGTTTGCAATTTCCTTTGATTTGCTTTAACAACATGAATAAAGAGCTTTATTGCAAAACGAATCACTGCGCATGCGCAGAAGCTACCCGCTAGCATACAAAATATGGCGTGCTAAATTTATATTAATGCTCTTAAGCCGACGCGAATGCACCTTTCTTTCCGTCTTTTCCTATATACGTACATACATACTTCTACCCATGTGAATAGATATGTACATATGTATGTACTTCTGAGTGTCGGCTTCTTATTCAAATAGTGTATCGCCATTTCACTGATGTGTGGCTATTGTTATCGTCAGTAAATTCATAGGGGTATGCATGTCGGCTTTAGTGCTTTATATTCAGTGCATTCCAGTCTAAAAAAACTGAATACCAATAGGCCTGTTTGAATTTACATTTGTTGGTACATACATACATAAGTATGTTGTATGTATTGTACAGCCCCCGACAAAATGTTAACACCTCATTCGTATTTTCACCAGTTTTGACAATTTTTCCTTTGTTTTTTTTTTTGAAGGTCAATATTTTTTGCTAAAAATATCTATCATTATCTAACAAAAACTTAATAATTCTAAATTTCAAACTTTGTACAAAAATTAGAAAAATTCAACAAAGTTTCAGCGAAATTCTAAGCTTTTTGTTAAAAAAATTTTAGGATTTAATATTAGTATAATAAAGTGCAAGTGTGAAATGTCAAAGAACTAAAATTTCTAAACTCAACGCTACTTTTTTTTGGCAATTTCATAATTGCACTTTATTATATTAAAATTTAGATTTATTAGAAAGTTTGGAATTTTGATGAAGTTTTGCTGAATTTTTTACATTTTTATACAAAGTTTAAAATTTACATACATATATGAGTTTTGTTAGATATTGAACTGTACGTTTTTACAAAAATTTATGAACACATTGAAAATTTATCAAAATGGTAAGGTGCTATCATTTTCTCGTAGGCTGTATGTGCTTATGCCCAGTACGAGTTGCTTGACCGGGAGTGTTGCTGACATGTTTTTAATAATTCATAAGTACATGCAGTTTATATTTACATACATATGTACATTAGACGGCATCACCAAAAAAATGTTGCGGTGTTTCCGCCGGGATTACAAAATTTGTTATATTTGACAAACCTGTTTATCATTTGAGGGGATTTTTTTCTCAAAAATCGTTATGAAACTATTTTTATTCATAAAAAGCTCAATTTTTGGAGGTATTTTCAAATCGGTCCAGCTCACGTAAATCTTAATATTTTTCCGAAATATTTTGGTGGACGTCTTAAAATATAATAGACTTTATAATTCCAATGGAAAACCAGTACCGATTTTTTTTTTTGTATGGGGACCGATGCACTCTAATGCACATACTTATCTACACACAAATTATTATAAAAAAAGAATCTGTCTTTATAAAAACTTTCCATAATTTATGTATAAATACATGTACGATCCAGTTGTGGCTGTCAAGTTCTGAATTAATTTACTCAAAAAAAAAAAACAATAGTGAAATTCGCTCTTCTGTGTAATCGTTGTATCTTGTGTAAGTGTAGCTAGATAAGCGTGTGCATG